CTCCACCATTGCTCCCGAAAGCTGCACAGAAGAAGTGTTTGCAAGGACTCCAAACCTGAAAAAACTGGGTATTCGTGGGAAAATAGCTGTGCTTCTTGAACCTAATAAGTCATTGTTAAAAAATGTGAAGAAACTAGAATCCCTTGAAAACTTGAAGCTGATAAATGATAGTAGTCAAACAGGAAAAGGGTTACGCCTTCCACCCTCATATATATTTCCCACGAAGTTGAGGAAGCTATCTTTAGTAGATACCTGGCTGGAGTGGAATGATATGTCTATATTGGGGCAGATGGAACACCTTGAAGTCCTGAAGCTGAAAGAGAATGGGTTTATGGGAGAATGCTGGGAGTCAGTTGGAGGTTTTTGTTCCCTACTGGTGTTGTGGATTGAAAGGACAGATCNTTGTGGATTGAAAGGACAGACTTAGTTTCTTGGAAAGCATCAGCTGATCACTTTCCAAGACTTAAGCATCTTGTTCTCATCTGCTGCGATAAGCTTAAGGAAATCCCCATTGGCCTGGCTGATATACGCAGCTTCCAAGTGATGGAGTTGCAAAACTCCACCAAAACAGCAGCAATATCTGCACGGGAAATACGAGACAAAAAAGACAAGCAAACTCAAGAAGGGACTAACAACAATGGGTTCAAGCTCTCTATATTCCCTCCCGATCTCTGATTGCAACTGGATGTGCAGCTTCCTTGAGAGGTCAGTTAAATCTTTCCTTGACCTTATTCAGATTGGTTTTAATTTCTATTTCATGTTTCTAGAGATTGTCGCAACCCCCTCATCTTCTATCCATTGTCCACATCCATACAATATAAGTTGAATGGGAACAGGGATTTCCATCTGTGCACTGCAATGCTAATCACCAAAAGTGGTCCTTAAAATCCAAAATTAGAAGCCAATAGGGGGCAAAAAAGAATATTAACTAACTATGAATTCTAACAAGTTCAAACCACCCAGTTCCTGCCTCAAATTGCAGTCTGATAACAGTTAATTAAAACTGAGCCAGAAATGTGGATGGTGATGCTCAGCTATTCCCCTTNGGGGCAAAAAAGAATATTAACTAACTACGAATTCAAACAAGTTCAACCACCCAGTTCCTGCCTCAAATTACAGCCTGATAACAGTTAATTAAAACTGAGCCAGAAATGTGGATGGCGATGCTCAGCTATTCCCCTTGGCACTTAATATTTGTAATTGTAACTCCTGAAATCAATTTTCCAAGTGTTCTCTAAATTCCATAAACTTATATAAAAGAACTGACAAATCACAATCTATATAACATTCAAAGTAGTATTAGTCACCATCAAATCTTGAGATTCTGTATAAAAGCAGTCTGTGAAAAAGAAAAACTAAATGCAGTTTTACATAACGCAGTAACAAGCTTATGCGTAGCCCTTCCCCTGACAAGCTTTATAAATTAGCAATATGACATAGATGTTTACGAACTACCTACTGGATTTTTCCTCTTTTGCAATTTGTTTTTCCCTTTTGGTTTTTCTTTTCGCGTTTGTTCGTTAACCTGAGGGCTGCAATGAAGATTCACTAACATTTGTTGGCATGGTTTCCTATTTTTCTTTGGTAACCTGCTACTACAATGCATTTTACTGAGAAAAGGAAAATTGATTCTTTGCGATTGGTGCAGGTCTTCAATGAATCAAACTGTATGATGCTGGTACTGTACCATGGATAAGAAACTTCTACTAGGTGTTATAATAATTCTTGAATCGTTGTCTGTCACCAACTTATTTGGGACTGAGGCGTCATTGTTGTTGTTGTTCAGTCGTTGTCTGTCTTTCTTGCCTTTCATGTGTTGTCTTCTTGATTGTGGTCATAGCTTTGAGCTGAATAATTGTATGTTTTCCATTTGTGGTATGTTATAATCCATAAGAACAGTGTACTTTGCGCTTGCAATAACAATTGATTGATTGTGTGGTCGGAGCTCGTACAGTTTTTTTTCTTTTTTTTCTTTGGCCAGTATTATGACACTACAATTATATAAATGGAGGAAATACGCTTGAATATTGCTTTGTTTGGAAGCTGGAGAAAGTAAATGAAAGACAAAAAATGATACTTTCTCCTCCATGGTTGAAGAGTGCAGAAGGGAAAAGAAAGAAGAAAAAAGAAATAAAAATATAGCAGTCCTTCTCTTAATTAATTGAGGATGTTAATGTAAAGTATGAATTTCATATTTTTTTGTGTTATCTATAAAGTTTGTTACTGTTTTATATCATAATGTGATCAGGAGGTCACAGGTTTAAGCCGTGGAAACAGCCTCTTGCAGAAATGCAGTGTAAGGTTGCGTACTATATACCCTTGTGGTCCAGCCCTTCCCCGTTTCTCGGATCCCCCGCATAACGGGAGCTTAGTGCGTCAGGCAGCCCTTAACTGTTTTATATCATATTCTAGTACCAATAGACATTCTAATTATGTCTGTTTTTCTAGAAATAAAGTACCATTATGTTAAACAAACTAAAACAATGTCAGAAAAAGATTGTGATAATAGGAATAATAAAAAAAAAGGCTAAATTTAATTATATACAATGTATTAATTGAAAAATTAGCATGATAAAAATTTATTAATAAATGAGTGACGTGAACCATTGAGACCTAACTATTCCTTCTAGTAGCATACAGTAGCTGGGACGGTAAATGAATTGGTTAAGCTAACTTCTGGAGTTTGGTTTTGGACCAATCTAGGAAGGTTTAACATAAATATACCAATTAATTAGGATTTGTAAAACGCGGAGATGATTTGGGACCCGTTTGGCCATAAATTTTGTCAAAATAATCTTGGATTTTATTTGGTAAACACATGTTTGGCCATATAGATTTTGCCTATATTTTGGCAAAATCCCAAATCCCAAAACCAGCTCAATAGTTGGTTTTGGGCCAAAATCTTTACAAACACTAGCTAGCGTTTGGCCATGGATTCCAAATTTGTTTTAAAAAATCTGATTTGGGTAAAGTTTGGTTTGAAGATAAAAATGTGTTTGGACATACATTTTCAAAACATATTTTCCAATTTTATTTTGGAAAAACATGTATATAATTCCAAGTTTTGGGATTTTGGCACAAAATCAACAATTGGGGTGATTTTGGGATTTGGGGTTTGGGATTTGAGATTTGAGATTTTGCCAAAATGTGAGCAAAATTTATGGCCAAACATGAGTTTTGAAAATAAATCCCAAATTTATTTTGGCAAAACTCATGGCCAAACGGGGCCTAATAGTATACATGTTTTTCCAAAATAAATTTGGGAAATATGTTTTGAAAACGTATGTCCAAACACATTTTCATCTTCAAACCAAACTTCACCCAAATTAGATTTTTCAAAATAAATTTGGGAATCTATGGCCAAACGCTAGCTTGATATTTTCATTTTGCTTGAATAGTTCCTATGGCCAAACGCTATTTATTAGTTCCTATAAAAGAATAAATGATACTCCCTCCGGTCCACAATAAGTGACCAATTTGCTTTTTTATTTTGGTCCAAAATAAGTGTCTATTTATATAATCAAGAAAGAATTCAATTTGTTTTTATAAAATTACCCTTATGTACATATCCCTAAAAAAAATTCTTACTCCTCACATTAAATATTTAATTAAGGGTAGTTTAGTCATACTAGGTATTTTTTGTATAGAATTTAGTATTTTCTTAATGGGCGTGAAAGCAAATTGGTCACATATTGTGGACCGGAGGGAGTAATCAATTTGGCACGAACAGTTTGGCCCCTATAACTTAATTGAAAATTGAACTAGGTACACGATTTTTTTAAAAAAAAACTATATGTGTGTGCGTCAATACACACTTGGTATCTTGAAAATAGAATTTTAAGAAATCAAAAATACAAAATATACTCTCCAACGAATTTTAAGATTTTAATACTAACTACACTATTGTGTGGCAATATTTACTAGTTTCTTCTAGTATTTGTCGAGCAGATGTGGACTTGGTGGCTCGTGCTTCACTCTAGTTGAACTCATGATACAAAAAATAAGGTATCAAAATTTGAATATAACACGATTTTAAAAAAGAAAAAGAAAACAGGCATGTTATTTTAAAAAAAAATATTGCAAATATATAAATATAACTAATGGACCATTAATTAGATAGTTATTGAAACGATTTTCTAATATATTATGAACACATTAAGAATTAATAAAAATCAAACAACTTAGAAAAAATGCTTAGAATGAGTAGGATTTTAATGCTACACCATTTAATTCAGAGTTCAATCCCACCAAATGCTCCCATCTCTTATAAGAGTCTACTTTTCGCCTATTTAAAGTTAATTTGATTAGCTTCGACAGCTAAATTAATAAATTTATTTATTTTTCACTAATTAAATTTAGATAGTTGGTAATTATCATGATGATTATTATCATATTAAGTGTTGCAACATCCAAAAATGTGGTTTAACGGTCAATGCAATTAGAATGTAAAACTACATGAGACTAGGATTCGAATCTAAGCAATGCAAACGGGAGCCGGAGTCCGAGGCGCGAGTTCGGCCGAACCCAGTAACTTAGATTCAAATTCTATTTATCTTAAGAGATTAATTTAATATGTTCAAATTGTTAATTTAGAATTCAGTAACTTAAAAGGGCTAAAATCATGAACCCAGATTCTTCAGATTTTGGCTCGAAGATTACTATTATAGAACAAAAAAAACAATATTATGCAAAATAATAATAATAATAATAATAATAATAATAATAATAATAATGCATTTTAAAATGCCAATCAGAGGTTTTCAAAAATAAATGACTTTTTGGCTTTGGGTATCAGTTATTTACCAAAAGAGAAAAATTGACGAAATTATTTTTGTTTGTAATTATCTTAACTCATAACTTCATATCGATATTGGAATCAAAATTATATTATTATCAAATTTTATAAATTATTATCACAAATATATTTTGAAAACTATTCCACTCATCGACTAAGAGCCCGTTTGGATTGGCTTAAAAAAATAGTTTTTCAGCAGAAATAAATTTTAAGCCAAAAAACAATAAATTGGGGTGGCCCAACTTACTGTTTTTGGCTTGTTCTAAGCAGTTTTTAACTTATTTTAAGCACTTTTTAACTTTGTATAACACTGGAAAAAATTAGAAAGAGCTTAAAAGTTGATTTGACGAGATGAAGAAGGTGTTTGGATGGGCTTAAAAGCTGGTCAAACTAGCTTTTAAGCACCTTTTTATTTTATGGAGTGTTTGGCAAAAAAAAAGTTGCTTAAAAAATGTTATAATTAAAATATAAATTATTTTTTATTTGCATTAATTCATAATTAAATATTTTGTAGTAATCAACTCCTTTATAATGTTAACAGCTTTAAGGATATTTTATCCTTTAAATAGAAAAAAGTGCTTACCAGCACTTGTTTAGCAAACACTTCAATAACTTTTTTTTAAGCTTCAGCACTCTTATCCAAACATGTAACTGCTTATTTATAAAATAAGTTTCAGCACTTAAAAGTTGATTTTAAGCAAAGCTACTTTTATTAAGCTAATCCAAATGGACTCAAAGCCACTCCAAACACCCTCTAAATCTTAGAGCCCGTTTGGACATCCAAAATTTTGCTTTTTTTCCAAAAAAAAAAAATTGAAAACAATGTTTGGTTATCCATATCTTACCAATTTTTCCAATTTCACTTGAAAATGCATTTTCACTAGTTTTTAATTTTATAAATTTACCCTATACTTTTAAAATTTATAACATGACCCCATCAATTATTAACCTACAACTACCCACGTGTTTTCCCTGGACTATCAAATGAAGCTACTGCAGCGGATAATGAACCCTTTTTCTTGTAACAACTACCATGTTGCTAAACAATAACATGTTTGATTGTTTATTTCAAGTAGTATAATTAAATTGGGATGATTTTAATGTTCTTTACAAGTTATAGGGTATAAATCATATTTCATGGTTTTGCAAAAAAAGACATTTAAATATGTTGCAAAAATTATAACCAAACACAACTTCATCTTCAATTCAAATTTTAGTGAAATTCCAAATTTAAAAATTTATTTTGAAATTCATGGCCAAACGACTACTTAGATGTTTCTAGCCATGCCAAATTTTTTAAAATATAGGGGATGGTTAAACGTTTTGGAATAGAGTAACTTGTTGCTGACGAAACAAACAAAAAAAAGTTGTTGCTATTTAGTGGTAAAGTATGGTGACACCAGGAGCGTACGCAGGATTTTTTNAATAGTGGGGCGAGAGAGAATCAGATTCAGTATAATCCATGTTTAGATGGTAACTTCAGTACGTGTGCTTTACGGAGAGGAAAAAGCAGTACATAGGGGCGTATGCAGGGTTTTTTTGCAAGCGATGTCGATGCTAAAGAGACTAAGAGAGACACAAATAACTGATTCTATAGGATATATATATATTTCGCTTTAGCTCACACAATCAAGTCTTAGCCTATTGGTTTAGCTAATTCTTTTCATCTATGGAGAGATCAGAAGTTCGATCCCGACGTCCATTTTTAGAAACAAAAAGAGCTCTAAAATTCATTAAAAATTCAGAGTCAATTGGGATCGAACCCTTGATCTCAAACATGATAGTTAGTCGCTTAACCTTTAGGCTACAAATAAAGAATTTTTAAGCAGTGTCATTCCTGTTTATATGCAGTAATTTGCGTATTAATTATACATGTATGTTTAAAATTTTCCGACAAAGCCGTATCGGATGACACCACTTAATATAATATGCATCCGCCCATGGGTGACACTGCTCGGAAGTGTAAGTGGGAACTTTGTCTGTCTCCGAGAAATGCAGAGGTTCAGATCACTCTTGCCGCGTCCTGTTGTACGCAGAAGCCTTTGTACTCTGTCCAATACCGATGTCATTGTCGACCCAGTAGGCTAGCTCACACACTTTATCAATTACTGTATTTGACACTTCCACTTTAACCAATGCAATGATCCAC